ATGAATTCTAATGACTCCAGGCATCAGCAGTCAGATGAGAACATGCATGCAGTGAAGTGCACTTCCATCTGACTCCAGGAAAGCCACGTGTGGTGACCAAAAGTACTACATACCACTCTACAGAGGGGCCTACCGCCTTACTGGGCTCCTAAACAAGGCAGGGGGCCCTGCTCCATGCTCTCAGAAGGAACAGCCTCAGGCAGAAAGGGCAGGGCTAGGATTAGGCAGCTCTCAGCGATGTCTGGCATGCACTGCACAGTGCTCTGGCAGTGATTTAAAGGGTTCATGGATCTGGCCACCGCCACTGCTGCATGCAGGTCAAAAACCAAGACACTGATTAAAGAAAAAGTACATTCCCCACTGCAGCTTGGAGCTCAGGGCAGTTGTCCCTTTCTCCCACCTCCCATTTGTGGGCCTGCAACTCTAGAACTCCTGACCAAGTATCAGTGTTCTATTCCTAACAGAGTGGCCTCCTGACATTTCTCCTGGTACTTAATCTAAATTGCTCTTTCATTTCCTTTTTCCTATTGCATATCTGTCATTGTAGGTAATTTGGAGTCAGAGTCTGACACCATTCCTCATGTTCAGGAACACTTTACTCCACCGATAGCACCAACCTACCAGAAGTCCTTAGTTCGAGTTAACTGTTACCCCTCATTCCACAAGGAGTAACAGGTAATCTGTTTGAACTAAGGGGATTTTAAAATGGCGCCCACCCGGGAACATGCAAATGAAGCCCGGCATATTTAAATCTCGGGCTTCATTTGCAACTTCGAATGCCTACATTAGCCTCCCTAGTTCGAACTAGGGGGCTAGTGTAGACATACCCTTACAAACTTAAGGCCAGATCTGGTCCCACTGGAGGAAGTGTAAAAATTCTCACTGGATTTCACTGAGATCAGACTTTAAAATCACAGTACAGTTGACTGTATTATCCTTCTGCAGTAGAGGGATCTTTTCAGTGTCAGAAGCTAGTAGCAGCAGTTGCGCAACTTAAAAAGAGATTAGGAACAAGCATAAATAAAGTGGGAAATGGCCAGTCCAATATGGAAATTCAGCAATGAGGTCTAAAAGGTCCCATTTACACTTAGTTTAACATTCCAAGAAGTACCAGAGTTCCTCTTTCAATTAGTGGAACTCATCTATATACATATTTTAGAGAGTTTGTGCATCTGTCTGTCTGTGAGTCCATCTGTCCGTCCATCCATTTGTGTGTCTGTTTCTTCAAGAACTCCTCCTAAACAGCAACAGCTAGGACCACTAAATTTGGTATGCAGCTTTTCTCTTACACTAATTTAATGCAAGATCAAGGTTTACTTGTTCCAGGAAAATGGGGTATGTCTGGAATGGGATTCCATAACATGGAAAGGTAGGGGGCTGAACAAAGGGATAGCTGTACTGTAGAGTGACCACTGGAGGCAGCCACACCAGCAGAGAGTGGCCATATGGGAATGGGGCTTCCCATGTTGCTGGCCACCAGACCAGATAAGTGGCCAGAAAAGTGGGTGGCGCTCTTGCCCAAAACAGTGCCAGACAGGGGTTGAGAGACCTACCATCCCAACCCCCAGGATCACCCTTGGATCCAGGAAGCACAGCCTGTCACCCCCCCCCCCCCAGGAGATGCCCTTCTCAAGGAGAGGCTGGGAGTGGCAGCCTATTTCCTACCCCAGAGGAGAGACCATAAACCACAGCCCAACATTCACCCCCCTCCCAAGGAGAGGCTGGGAATCATGAGCAGTTGCAGCCTGGGGACCCCTGACTCACCTCAGACAAGATGGAGCAAGGGGCCAGCCCATGCAGCTCCATCCCCCTGGGAGGAGCTTCCGGCCAGGGAACGCAGACCCATCCCCCTCAGAGAAATCACCAGAGCAGCATCACTCTCACCACCATGGGTTGCCCCAGAGCCCCCACAACTCCAAACTCCCTGCTCTGAGCCCCCTGGTCTGAGTCCTGCATCTCCCACCCCCTGCCCTGAACCCACCACCACCTACACCAAACCCTGTACCCTGAGCCCCCCACTCCCTGCTCTCACTCCAGCACCCCCAACCATTTCCAGTCCCTTCATTCCCCCTCCTTCCCAAGTCCCCCAGCCCTTGCCCTAACTCTGGAATCTCTGGTACTCTCAGCCCCCCAACCAAACCCCTGCCCTGACTCCTGCACCCCACCCCCTACCCTGAGCCCTCTTACACACCAATCCCTGTGCCCTGAGCCCTCCTCCCCTCACTCTAGCACCTTCCACCCCCTGACCTGAGCCCCCAACCCTTCCAGCCCCTGCCTTCACTCCTGCACTCCCACCCTCTACCCTGAACATCCAACCCCTACTCCTGCATCCCCAATCCCTTTTTATTGTAGCAAAAGACAGAAAAATTGAAAATACTGTCTGCCAGCAAGCTCTAATGTTTGAATCGCTTTCCTTCTTTTATTAATACAAACTTCTTTTTTCCTTAATTTTTGAAAGATACAATCATTTAAATAAAGCATGTACATTTTCATTGTATTAAAAAAAAAGACAAAAACAGAATTACTTCACTTAAAGATCCAAACTATACCAGATAAATCTGCTAGTCAAAGAAAAGTACCACTGTGGGAGCCCAAAATAAAGAAGTAGATGAGTAGTGGATCAGGACCCCATTTTATTAGGGTCACCAGTGCTTCTATTAGACTTGCTGAGGCCCAGAGCCGAAGCCTAAACCCCACCACTCAGGGCTGAAGCCAAAGTCCCAGCTCCGCTGCCTGGGGCCAAAGCCTAAAGGCTTTAGCCCTGCCTGGGCAGTGGGGCTCAGGTTACAGGCCCCAAACTTGGAGCAGTGGGGCTCAAGTGGACTCAAGCTTCAATCCTCCTCCTCTCTTTGTGATCAAATATTTTTGTTGTCAGAAGTGAGTTGGGGGCAATGAAGTTTGAGAACAGCTGAAATAAATGAAAACCAAAGACTGCTGCTTGCTTCCTAAGAGAAAAGCAATGATCAAGTTTCTTCATCATGCAGGTCAAAAACCAAGACATTGATTCAAGAACAGCACATTCTCCACCAATGAAAGATAGTCAGGGGGAGCAAATAGTAAAAGAAACCCTGCCAAAATTACTGTTTCTTTTAACTGAGAATTAAATCCCTTGGAGGAAAAGCAAATGACAGTTACAGCCCTACATGCATTTGCCATATCTTAAACACTCTATTTTAAAATCTGCCTTACTCCTAAGTATTTACAATAAGTTAATTTGGCAGGACAAAATTTCTTGCTTTTGGTTTACTACAACTATTTAATTTCTATGAAGACATTTAGTCAACTGTCATCTATCTTCACGGTTAAAATTAGCATTAAGGAGTCAGCTGCTGAAGACTTTTTTATATAATACACTGTTTTATAAAATAGATGTCAAATCCAAAATTGAATGGATAAAAAAAACCTAGATGAATGTATGTTACTATCTGGTTATAGTGTGATATCAAGGTCATTTAGGAGCTTGTTGTTATTCTAGCTATTTTAATCAGAGATGTATTATCACACACCCATGGTATCTCCTTACTGAATTCCATTTTTTTTAAGCAGAGCTAAAAATGTTAGGGTAGGAAGCACATGCTCTAAAAATGACTGTGTGTACTAGAAAACAGACTTTTAAAAGTTTGTTGGTGTATGTAATTTTATATGACTTTTATTAACATTTCTTTTGTATCTGTACATCATTTTTCTGTCTTATTTCCCACCAGCAATAATACAGCCTTCGCTACAAAAACAAAACAAAACAAAAAACTACTGTTCTTTCATTTCAAAGTTACTAGTTATGCACTGTATAACTGCAAAGTAGTAGTACTATATAGACATAGCATTGGAGTACTTAGGAAGGACATGATTCCACTCCCACTGAGATGATATATTTCATTTTAGAAATTACTAAGAGTTTGAATAACACCACCATGCCTTCTAAACTAAATGAAACTACACCATCAGCTTACAATTTTGCTTAAAATTGGAATACCATAAAATGCATGCATTTATATGGATCTCAATATCATTAAAAGCACACTAAGATGCCTGTAGATATCTGGTAGGAGGGGCATGGACTGGAGAGATACAAGAGAACTAAAGTCATATTCAAGTCCATTCCTACCAAATCCGACTGAAAACTATGTGAATGTAACATATAAACTGTCACACTTTGAGTGATAATTCCTGCATGTGGGAGACAAGGCAGGTGAGGTAATACTTCTATTCCACCAACTTCTGTTGGCAAAAGAGACAGGCTTTTGACTCATGCAAAAATCTTCAAGTCTGGGAAAGGTACTCCCAAAGTCACAGCAACATGCAAGGTGGAATGGATTGTTTAATGTAAATAGCTAGCACATATTGTAAGGGACCACTCAAGGTAGCTGTGGCATTGACGCCTCTAAACTCAGTGGATACAGAAAAGAGATAGCGGGTCCGAGACACACTACATACAACTCCTGTATTTCTCCAACTTGGGGGGGGGGGGGTGAAACAGACGCTCACAATAGTGACTGGACCTCACCTCTGTTTTGAAACTGGACCAAGGCGCAATGCTTGGCACTTGGCTTTTTCTGGGGCAGAGGGATTTGTGTGCGTGTTGTGGGGAGAGGGAGGGAGGGAATTAGTCAGGGATCAGAAATGCTCTCGGCTGGCATTGGAAAGAGCCTGTCGTGCGCCGGGGCAAGCTGAAGTGCCAGGCTGCGCCGCCGGTGGGGGTGGGGGGCAGGGAATCAGACAAGGCGGGGGAGACCCGCACCAGCAGGCGACTGTCACTTGCCTTGCTCGGACCCCAGGCGGCTGCCACCCAGCCGAAATGCACGCAGGCGTGGAGCCCGACTCCTCCCGCACCGCAAAGGCGCTTCTGTCCCCTGCCGCTGCTGCCAGTGCTACCCCTGGCAACACCCCCAAGCCTGCCCCGCGGGGCCCTCCCCTGGAGCCCGCCTCCCCGCTTCCCGCCTCGGTTGGAGCCCCGCAGCTCGGGGCTAGGCAGCCGCTCACTGGCCCCAACACTACTGTACCTCTAGGCTCCGGCGGAGTTTGGCTGCTGCCCCGGCCGGCCAGCGCGCTGAGGAGCAGGAGGAGCGACAAACTTCCCCGGGCCATTGCTCCCGAGCCGCTACCTCTTCCCCCGGTCAGCCAGGCGAGTGAGCAGAGGGAGGAAGCAGCGAGCGACCCTACAGCCGGGGGTGCGGGAGGAGGGGGAAGGACACACCCCTGCTCTCCCCTCCCTGCGCCCAGCTGCCCCACCCCGACGGGCGCCCTCGCACGGGACAGCAGCCTCCAGGGGCACAGCCTCGCCGTCTGGGGGCCTTCTGCGAGTTCCTGCGGGGCGGGCAGGATGGCAAAAGCCAGGCAAGCCTTGGGAGTGAGGGACCTCGGAGAGGAGCCGCCGAGGCAACCGCCTATGGGCCCTGCTCGCTCCGTGCTGCTCCAGGGCTGCGTGCCACTGGCTCCGCGCGAGCAGGATTTGGGGACCTGGAGATGGGATTCCAACGCGCTGTGCGTGGGGCTACCCTTGCAGCCCTGAAAGTAACTTAGAATGTCTTGCAGGGACTGTCCTATTGCACCGGGTCCCTGCCAGCTCTTCCAATAGCTCCCTGCTGGCTTTTGCTGCAGCGTGGTCAGCGCTGGCTGGAGCTGCGCACCCCCTTACTTTCACCTCTGTACCCTTGTCTCTGCCCCAGCTGATACGGCACTCATGCTGACTGCAGCAGTGTTACCCTACTGTTCTTGGAACCAGGGGCGGCCTGTCCATATAGGCAATCTAGGTGGTCACCTAGGGCGCCAAGTTAAATGGGGCACCAAATGGTGGCGCAATATCATTGAGGGGTTTGGAGGTGGGGGCTCTGAATGCATGGTTTGCCTAGGGCGCCAGTTGCTGGCAGCTAGTCTAGGACTGCCCCTGCTTGGACTGCACATGCTGCTAGGGGTAAATCAAGCTGTTGCCTAGTCACCTCAGAGACAGCTTTCTGCTTGAGCCTTCACAATAGGCCTAACTAGCTCCAACATGAACTGACTGACAACCCTTATGTTTATGTGTGGCTGATGGAAGAAAGCTCTCAGAGAAGAACCCTCATCTCTGGAATTCATTTCTCCTACCAGGCTTGGGCTGTGCTGGACCATGTACCAGAGGATATGGTACAAAGCCCATCTCCAGTCATGACTTAGAATCATGGAAATTAGGGAGGAGAGACTATCGTGATCTAATCCATCTCCTTGCCAATTGTGGATTGTTTCCTACAGTACATGTAGCACTGTACATGCTCGAAATGGCCTCATACAGAGTTAAAGGTCAAATGCTCCTTTCCCCCATATACAAGGCTGAATAAGCAGGCTTTGCTTCCAGTACACAAGGGTATGTCTACACTTGCCCCCTCATGCAATGAGGAGTAACAGTTAATTCGAGGGAAGGGTTTTGGATCGGACTATCGTGTCTACACGCGGCGAGTTAATTTGGGCTACCAGCTTTTTAAAATGGCGACCGGACGCAAATATGCTTATCAAGCGCGGGATATTTAAATCCCACGCTTCATTAGCAACTTCGGTATGCTTCATTTGCCTCTCTAGTTCGAACTAAGGGGCAAGTGTAGACATACCCCAAGCATTTGCCTTTAAATCCTCTGCAGGGCCACCTCCTTCCCTACCAAATCTTCACTAGGCTATGCCAGTGATGGCTTAATACGCGCAAGAGTCTTTCGCAAGCCAGCAGAGATTTTAAGAGCTGGAGAGAGGAGCTTCTCTTCAAGTGTTTTTTTTTTCTAATTCCCTTATTAAAAATCATTGGAAAATGTTATACCAAAAAGCTACATTAAGAGAAAATTAAAGTTACTTAGGCCAACCAATCAAAAAGCAGGAAATGCAAGTGTTCCAAGTATAATTTTCCTACTATCTTAAACCTATTTCTGTATGTATGATAGAGAAAGCCATGAAAATATTTATATGAAAATTACAAAGGAATACGTGCACAGCATTACACATTAATTACAACTGAATAATTTTTGAAATTTGCTGGCATTATAAAATCAATTTATAACTAGTTCCTTCTAGAGCTAACTGCCTGATTTCCTGAAGTGCATGAAAAGAAGGTTGTGAGATTGGATTAAAATAAAATGTATACTACATGGCAGCTGACTAAAATTATTAAACTACATGCCTTAGAGGGGAGAAAGAACTTAAAGTCATTTTGTTGACTTAAATATGTAAAAGACAGGTTAAGCCATTATGACAATGAAAACAGTGTACCTAGGAGTTACTACAAACATGTATCTGAAATTGTATAAAAATGTATAATAGATTGTATTAGAAAAATGGAATTGAACAATGCAACTAGAGACCACATTACGATTCATCCACACAAAACTGAGTAAAGTGCACTTTCAATAACACTGTACTTCCTGATTTGAATTATTACCCATGCATTCATAAAGTTTTAACAATTTTTTAAAATTAATAACCTTCATACATTAGAGATTAAACAGTGGAATATATTTGCTCACGTCCAACATAAATACTCTTTTGTATAAATGTTTATGCACTGAAGTCTAATCATAATCTGAACTTCCTATGACAGTTCCTGTTTAAATGGAGTAAGGATAATGAATTTGGAAAGCTTTCCATGTCTATAACATTGCAGGAAAGAGACCCACAAATCTGGGTATGCCAACTTCAGCTCTCAAAGTCATGAACTTTTTTGATGATAATTTTTTCAGCCATTTCAGGTTCATATTCAAGAGAACACTGTAATATGTGGATAATACATTGTGCTCTGTAGTATCCAGCAATGAAGCCCATGTGTTTCCTTTACTGTTGCTCCGCATTTAGTAAAGTGGTTTCTTGTCCTTGCAAAAACTGCTCATTTTGAGGTTTTATCCAAAATAACATGGCTCGAGTATCTGCACTGTGTTGAAAACTCCTATTACTTCTAATACATTTTAGACATTTTCTCCCAGTAAAATGACAATAGTAATGTTCCTTCAACTGTCAGACATTTGGCACACTTAAGTAAATAGAAAACACTCTACCCTCCACTTTCCCAGTGATGAGATAGCAGCATTCTACAGATCTTATTGGGAAACCCAAATGCAAGACTAGCATTGATAGTTCTTTGAAAGTTAATTGCTTTGTAACAATAGAGTATGCAATAAGTGGCATGTTGCAAGGAAATTGGTCAGACCAATCCCCAGCATATTCTCTCTGTCATATTTCAGCCTAAGAGCTTTATGGGAAGTAGTCATCTTTCAAGGAACGGAGAACAAAAATACACAGCTTTGGCTGCTATCCTGTTGAAATGCATGTTAACTAAAAGCTCAAAGCTGTTGACTCCAAACACATTGTCTGGAGTTTCAAAATGGAACAGTTCAAATTTTGTAATCTGAAATCTACTTGCATCACTTATTATAAAAGAATGAGTTTCAATTACGTGCGCTAAAGTGCCAGGTCTATTAAATCAGAGGCAGTAGCAGCTGCATTCATTACATTTCTATAAGAGCCACACCATGTTAGCATGGACTGCATACTCCCTCTGTCTGGGAACTTTCAACTCAGAGGTAAAAAGCAGTGCAAATCCCTATACTAGCTAGTTTGTCACAATATTGGATGGATTTAGAATGGCCAGCTGTCCTGATTTTACAGGTATAGTGATGATATTCAGCCTTCTTATTCAGGCATGTTATCTCACACCCACTCCCATCCTGATTTTCTAGTTGCTATCTGGTCACCCTAAATGAATTGTCAGTGGAGGTTGAAAATGGATCTTAAAGCATGAATTTCTGCTGAGCTAAAGGAAGGTCTATTAACAGGCAGTAGCAGGCTCAGATGTGATCTAGCATTGGTAGGGGTCAAAAAGCCAAACTGTGTTACAGAATGCATGGTGTTATTTTCAGTACCACTCAGGAACCATCAACCTCTTATTAAAATCCAAAGGTAAGGGGAAAAGTTCACTATCACAAGCAACCTGCTGCTCTTTTATTGCCAGCTCTGAGCTTTCTGAAGCTCAGCCTTATTCTTGCAGTTTCCCAGTTTGCTGGTTTCTAGATGACTACATGAGGTTAAAAACCGAGGACACTGCCTTTTCGGGGTTTGTCCCAGTATCCATGTCAGTTCTTCAAAAATTGTTTTTTGCCAGGTTTTCTAAGTCTCTAAAGTGGCTATATTCCAGCTAAGTTGTTGAAACTACAGGTTGGATCTCCCTGTTCCGGCACTCTCAGGGCCTGACTGGTCACAAATGAGGGACTTTTTCAGACCAGAAGAGGTCACTTCTGGCCCCCTTGCCATCAGCACTTCAGCCGCAGCCACTGGTCTCCCTGCTGGTTCCCCTGCTGCTCTGCCGGACCCACCAGGCTCTCAGCCACACCAACAGCCTGCTGCCCTGTTGGGCTCCTGATCCTGCTGGACTTGCCACAGTTGGGCTGGACTCCCAGCCAGATCCTGCTGGCACACCAGCCACCTTGCCGCCAGCCCAGCTGGACTCCTGCAGCAGGGCTCTCAGCCACCAGCCTGTCTGCAGCCAGCTCAGCTGGGCTCCCAGCCCCCACAGAGCTGCTGCCTCTGGCACTGCCATGGATGTTGCCAGACCAGAGAGCCCCAATTTAGAGATATTCAACCTGTAACAGCAGTTTGGCTGTGCAGATCTGCACTTTCAAGTTTGCCCCCACTCTGTTATATTATGTACCTGACCTCTCCCTACAAGAGACCTCAAGCCAGCCTTCGCTAGTTTGTATGTGCAACTCCACAAGGACTCCAACACCAACCAGTACCACAAGCTCTGAGTCTATCATTGCTCTATCGTCATATGCAGGTCACTAAGAACCCAGCCAGAGCCCACATCAATGCTTTCCCCTAATCCCAGAGTTGCACTCTGGAATGTGTTGGTGCAGAGAGACATAGGAGAAAGCTTGCTTCAAGGTGGAAAGCAAATAGGATGAGAAAATGTGTGAAAAGGAGATCTAGAAGGATAGATCCTAGGAGAGGGAAAAAAGGGCAAACAGGAGGAAAGATGGAGGAGAGAGAAAGAGTTGAGTATGTTTTGGGACTGGGGTTAAATGAGGTGAATAGGAATGTGTGGGTGATGGGGAGCTGGGTTGAGTGAAGGAGAGTATGGCAAAATGATAGGGTTCCAGCAGTAGAAGTGAAGTGCAGAATTGCTGTGATCTGACAGATTTCAAATGG